GCAACCACAGCCGCAGTAGACTAACTATTTTTTCCCCCTGATTTTTATTTCATGGGAGTTGGGCGGAGAAAAGCTTTTCCAATTTGTTGACAATGACAACAAAGAAAGTGACATCAATGTTGCCGTCGCCGTCGCTGTCAATGCAATTCAAATTGTCAGCTGCAGTTGTCGCCTTTCGACCTGTTTTTTTTTTTTTTTTTTTTTAACCCCTCTCCTTGTTTTTTTGCAGCCTGCAGTCCCTTTTTTAAGCCGCCAAAATCAACAAACAAAAGAGGTGAAACTGAACAACCAGCAAACAATAAACTCAAAACCACACCAAAAAAAAGAAAGAAAGAAAAACTTCTGCAACAAGTTAAAGGCGTTCGCTCGTAATATTTTTCCTCGTGACCGAGATCGTTTTTTGCATTTATTAATTGCGCCCGTCCGCAAAGCCAATTAACTTGGCCAAAGGCACCATTTTTATTTTCGCTGCATACTCTCGGGCAGCTGGGAAAATGCGAAGAGGTTTTACCTGCAGTAAAAAAAGGTGGAATGGCAACATGTCGTATGAATAATGCTGCAACAGTAGTTGCAAACCCCAGCTCTCTTATAATTTGATTTATTTTGCTGCTCGGTTTTTGCCCTAAAATAGTTTACTTTCAATGCTGTCAATCACGCTCCTGTTGCTCATTAAAAAATTTATTTTTTTATTCTAGTAGTGGTCACTAAACAAAAAATATTAAAAAAAAAAGAAGAAAAAAAGGCGTTTAAGCTGTCAAAGTAAAGAATTAAATTGTTTTTTGCTTGGTAGCTGCAATTTGCCTGTAAATTCTCGATACATTTTTTCCAAAAATGTTTGTGCAGTAAACAAGAGAATTTAATTTTGCCATTGGAATTCGATTGACTTTTTATTTTAACCAACGAAGTAATGCACATGAGTTCGATCTGCAAATTTATACATTCTTTTTAAGCTGATTTTTAGAACCATTTTTTCAATTTATACTACTATATATACTTTGTAAAGTTTTTTTCATGATCAACCCCTCATAATTGGCGAAAATTGCGTAATAACAAAATTACAACTCCCCCTTGCAATTTGCCACCGCCACCCTTTGCCTTTTTAGCCATGAGTTTTTGTCCAGAAATAGAAACTAATTTCATGTCCATTTTGGCGTGCAACAAATTCTGCTCGTTGGGGCATTGTTGCTCTACTGTTTAGTTTCGGTTTTTGCGGTTGTGCTTTTAGCAGTAACCGCTGCCACGCCCCCGCCCCAAATTCTCGGCCACTATGTTTTGAGGCAATAAGTGGCATGCCATTAAATAGACCGCAATTTTATTAGTTGCCGCTGCTGCTGCTGTTGCATCAAAACAAAGGCAAAATAATAATGCGAAAAAAAAATAATAACGAGGTTACCAATAAACTTGCTTGAAAAACACACAGTGCTTTTCATGAGAGTATAAAAACTAGCAAATTAGAATTTGAAAATCACGAAGAGGAGAAAATTTGGGATTTTCGGTTGTAGTTTACGATGTAAATATTGCCAAATATCGAAAATCAAATAACAAAACCGCGAACTGTTCCATAAATATCATCTGTCAAAAGGCTGTCGATGTGGTTCAAAATTATGGAGTGTGCAAAAAAAATATGTATACAAAAACGACATTAAAATTTAAAGCAAAATTTTGACAACAATTTGACAAGCTTGCAGCATGATTTGGTTTTCATTGAATTTTAAATATTTCAAAGTTGACGCAAACTTTTTGCTTCAACCATGTATTCAATTAAAATCAATTGAGTGCGACAATTTAGAATTTACCCACACGCCTGCATATATTTATGAGTACGGATATTTTCATACCTAACCATAATCCATAAATAATAATTCAATCAATTTCAATTCAAATTCCTTTTGCCAGTTCTTTTTCCTTCTCCTTCTCGTACATACACTTTAAAATTATTGCGATTTTTCCTTTCAAGTTTGTCCTTTTGCGGAACTTAAGGTGCTAAGCAGTTCCCCTGGCGGTTGATTCAATTGCACAAACAAGAGTTTATGGAACTTTAATGCCATCTCTTTCTTATCTTTATCAGCTTTCTCTTTCTTTCGCCAAAACACGTAAATTACAATTTATGCGGCTGTCAACAGTTGGCTAACTGTTTTGTTGTGGGGTGTTGAGACATTAAAAAATAAAGGCAAAAAAAGTGATAAATATAATATATGACAGGTGTTTCTGCTTTATTTTCCTGCTTAAAATACGAGTATATTTTCGATGGTTTTTCTTTGCATGCATAGTACAACTTTGACCCATTTTCAAGTTTGCTGCCCTCCACCCACACAGTAAAGCGGCCTTGTCCTTGTATTTAAAGCATGATTTACATGCTGGACAAAACAAAAAACTTTTAATGGCCATGCAGACAGGCCAGCAACACCAATCTCAACCGAAAGGTTACAACTTGTCCCATAGATTTTATTGTCCTTACTTTTGCTTTCGTATATTTATTGACTTCTTTATGTTGGGTTATTGTTTTTTCGTTCCTTTAATTTCCCTAAAAAATTAGTTTCAAAGTTAAGTTGCTTTTCGCATTTACTTCGTTTTTGCGAACTCCAACTTGGTGGCCAAAAGGAGTTCTCTCTTCTCCAGTTTTGATTTATTTAATCCTTATTGTTATTGCAATTCCTGCTCTCTAAAGTCATTTCTTGTCTCAGCAGGACTTTTCCCATAACCCGGCCAACTATATGTTCCACTAGCAGCCGGCGTAGAAAAGTTTTTCGGTTAAAAAAAATGTATTATTTACATTGGCCACCCGCTGAGAAAAAAGCCAATATTTTTTCAACAATTATTTGACTCGACTTGAGGTCCTCGTGGGACAGTGGATGTCAAGGGTTAAGGCGACAAACTTTTAATGCAAAAAAAAAAAACTGCGGGACCATTCGGAAATAAAATCATAAGTACATAAGTATTTTCGTCAGAGGAGCGATGGCCGAAATGAAATTATTAAAAAGTTGCATATTTACGATGACCAAAAAAACCAGGAGTAAAGTTTTTCCCCTCGCCCCGGGAAATGGGTTTTTTGACATGACCGGCCCTTAACGTTTTGGGGGCTTATTTAGTTTAAGACTTAAACACAAAAACACACACACACATATAGATATATTCATATATACACACGAATATTCCGGAGCAAAGTTTCCTTCTTTTGGCTGGGAGCAAAGTTGCTGTCAAGAGGAGAAACTTGGCTTTGACTTTTGGTTTTATGTACCAAAAATGGCCAAAAAAATAAAGGAATTATTTTTAGTCAGCTTAAGGAGGAAGTTAAGTGAAAGAGAGCCGGAAACAGACGTTTTAATTTAATTTGAAAGGGGACTAAGTCATCCGTGTTTTCTCAATTTTTTTATAGTTGATTGAGAGCTGTGGAAAATGCTCCGGAAAAGTTTGATCAAAGTCTCGAGGAGAGGGGGGGGCAAAATTATGGCCATTAAGGAAATGCTCGGAGAAATTAGTTAAATAATGGCATGGAGAGCAAACAGTAATTTGTACTTAAAAGGTTAATTGCCAGATTTACCGATTGTATAACAATTCTTTTCAATTTCGCTTAAAGGTCAAACCTCTTTGGCTTTAGTGCTATCGATTGTATACATTTTTATTTCGAGCTCGACTTTTTCCCTGGCATTTTCCCCCCATCTCACCACCACTCAACTTGAAGTTACACTTTCGTGTGCTTGTATGCGATATTATCGCCTAACAAGCGGAAAATGGCAACCGAAGGATGGAAAAGTCTTGCGAGGAAAATGGCGAGTAGAAGGAGAAACCTCCTCAAGTTGACAACGACAAAACGCATAGCAATTTAGATATTGATTTAGATAGCGTCTGGCAAATATGTTTTCCCACTCGAACGGGAACAATATTGGGATTACAGGATAGTACACACACTTGCGCTTTCCCTGGCTTTTCCTTCGATAAGTTTGGCTTGTAATTGGCAATTGTACAATGATTGATAAGCAACCATTTCGTAGAATAAGTGCTCGTCCATTAACAGCTAATAACCCATTAATAAATAAACTGAATGTCGCTTTAAGACCTTTAATCCAAATCAATTTCCACTCTGCAAACAATAAACCATTTTTTTTTAGGCCACTTCATTTGAAATTAATTTATTGTACTTGTTAATACTCAGCAAAGTTTTACTGTGATTAAAGCAAGAAAAAATGAGAAGTCGTTCTGAAATATTTCAGTAATTTGTTCAAGCGGTTCCTTTATTAAATAAAGTTTATTTTTTACTGGTGTAAAAACGATTTGATTTAATCACCTCCAACAAACAAATAGTAATAATTGCAAACTGTTGCTCATAAATTAAATTGTTAAATGTTCTTAAAAAAAAGCGCTTACACTGTATTTGCCCTTTCTGTGTTCACTGAATAAATCAAATATACAAAATATTTATTCACTCGACTAGTGCAATAATTGGTGGTAAAAAAAAACATCAAAGGCTGAACAAAACAACAAAAAAAGCAGGAAAAAATTCTGCAAAATGGTAAAGATGAAAAAAATATTAGCTGGTATGCAACTTTTTTGCAGGTTTTGCAGAAAAGTGACCAGATCCCGACACTTCTAAACCCACAACTTTTCTAATTTTGATCCGATTTACAACTGACATATCTCTAGGAATTTTTGTTATTAAAATATATACCAAGCTGCATTATTAGTTTATTTTCGATTTTTTGGTCGATGTTTTGTCATTATTTATGACAAATTTGCTAAAAATTGATTTGCAGAAAAGTGACCAGATCCCAGCACTTTTAAGCCTATAACTTTTCTAATTTGTATAAGTTGTTTTGTTATATTGCCTATAACTTTTCTAATTTGCATATCTCTTTGAATTTGTTATAAACAATATCTATCAAGCTGCATCATTCAACAATCGATTACTGCAAACAAGTTTAATTGTATGCATTTGTCTATAGAATACATAGTTTCGGCTAATTTCATCAAGCTGGTATCTAAATTTCGCTTTGTTTTTGCAGCAACAATCGCTGAGCGACACCAGTGCCGCCAGCAGTGGCAAGGGCACCAAATTCTTGCTGCGTAAGCGTAAATCAAAGAAGACAACCGCAGCAACAGCAGCCGCAACAACAGTAGCAACAGCTGAGGCCGCAACAACGGCCAAAAAGGATGGCAAAAAGGGTGAGTGTTCGGTTCGTTGGAATCAAAGTTTTTCCGGCTGAGAGGCGGCGGAAAAGTTTCCGCCAGGAAATTCATCTTGATAGCTGTGTGTAAAAGTATACCAGTGATTAAACAGTTTATTACGGTTCATATTTAAGCATTTAAAATCATTTTAAAATTGGGCTTTAAAAAGTTTCAACTCGTTACAATGCAGAGCCTAAGAGAATTTATAATCTTATCAAAAGCTGTTGCTTAAAATCCTTTATTACATTTTTGAATAGTTTGAATATTAAGTTAACAAGCAGAACTTTCTTTAATGCTTCTTATTTAATTTACATACTCAAGGTTTGCAGTTTAGTTAGTATTTGTAATCAATTCAAGACTAGTACTAATACTTTAAGAATATTAATCTTTTTCTTAATTTATTACTATTGTTTAACCCTTTGAGGGGCACATTTTTCTCTTTTGCGAAATTTCAGTATTAATGGTTGTATATAGGTTTTCGGGGTCGCTGATTACGATTCTGATATCGGAATTGTGAAATTTTGGATATTAATCTACTGATATCAAAATCGTTATCAGCAACCCCGAAAACCTATGTACAACCATTGATATCCGAATTTCGCAGCGTAACAAATAATGAAATCAAACGGAAAGATTCGTCAAATAACACTATTTTCAACTTATTCAAAAAAATTTTTTCATGAAAACTAGCCTGCCGAAAATTCTGAAAAAAACATATGTTTTTGTTCAATGTATATGCTCGTCAGAAAAAAATTTTCAAAATTTTTGGACCTGTAGTTTGCACACAGCTGAATTTATTCAAAAACACGACAGTTTTTTCAAGTTTGAATTTTTATAACTAATTAATTAATAACAATTTCACGAAAATTTTTTTTTTATAACTTTTTATAAGTATTTGAGAGTCTAAATGATAATATATTTTTACTAAAACGAGTGCAGTGCGAAAGAGATTAATTAAAAACGGCAAAGAAACAGGTGGGAAGTATACTTCCCACTGCCCCTCAAAGGGTTAAAAGATACGATGGAAATATACGTTTTTTTTTACATCATTTGTTGTTTTATTTGTTATTAAATTTGATATTTTATTCGATAGGTATCACCCCATCCCAACCTTCGATCAAGTGCGTTCTCGTGGGCGATGGTGCCGTTGGCAAGACGAACCTGATCCTTTCGTATCTGGAGAACCGCTTTAATCCCGAGCACATACCCACGGCCTCCGACATTTATAATGGTGAGTGTAGAGTCGGCAGTTTTCCCGCCGTTCGCGTTGACGGCGCCCTTCAACAGGTTTCCATTTCACACGGCCTCCATTTCTTATACGCCCGAACCCCCCTTTTCGCCTCCTTTTCTTGGCCCGACCTTTGCGGCCTTGGTTTCGATTAAAGGAGAGCGCAGAGCCTGGAATTCGGGTTGAATCGGTCTTGAGCTGGCTGCTCGGCACGTATATGAATTTTTCATTTTGTTGAAAACCAATTTGTGAAATCTGTACCGAGTTTTCCGCTTTCCGTGTGAAGGATGTTGGATCTGAATTAATGTGGGAAGTCGGCTACAGTTTTGGGATCTCCGACTTTCACTGCTTCCGCATTTAACGAATGTGTGTGTGTGTGTGTGTGTGTGTGTATGTGTGTATGTGGATGTGTTTTGTGCTATTCACGAATTTTAATGAACGGAAAATTGAAATTTGCGGTTATTCAACAGAAGCACAAAATGTGAAAACTTGACTATGTTTCGGGTTCGTTTTTTTTTTTTTTTTTTTTTTTTTGTAGCCCCCTGTTTTTCCCATGTTCAATTGATTGAATTATGCTTAGCCCTCGACCCATAGCCCTTTAACCCCCCCGTTGGCAGCTTTAACCCTTGGCCATCGTCTGTCTGGCACTCGAGACTGCCGTCAGCCAGGTTAACCCCTCACCGGGCCCCTGGGGCTGATTTTAATAAAATTTTGCATGAATTTGCACTTCTCTGCATGCTCGGTTCTGGGGTTCTGGGTTCAAAAACTGTGTTGCCTGCCACTCAGTCAGTGGCTTCTGTACTTGTGTGTGTGTTTTTGTGGAAAAGGCGAGTGAGTCCTGGCCGAATTCGCCTGCAGATAATCGTGGAATAATTCAACAGATTCAAAGAGGTGTACTACACTGAGTTGCAGGTGAATTTTCCGCTTTTATATGCTGTTTTTCGCAGGCAGTTTTGAAAATTTAAAGCATCAAGTAATTAAAAAGTTATTTGATAAGAAGCGTTAGCCACTATTTTAATCATTTAGATACATTTTGAATACTTTTGCTTAAAGCTTCAATTAAAGATTTTGGGTTGTAAATGAAAATAGTCATATCTTGGGTTCTTACTGACTATCAGGTTGACATTTTTGCATATCGGTTAAAAATATCCTGGTCTGTTTCGTTACTGTTTGCCTGTCCTGCTAATTGAATGTCCCCTTTTGAAGTGGGCAAAATGCTAGGATTGCAGCTTTATTTTTTGTGTTTTTTTGTGGGGGGTGGGGGGGAATTCTATTTGAAACATTTCATTCGGCCTGAAATGCTAGGGATGTCACTTCTATTTTTTCCCCTCTCTCTCTTTTTTTTTTTTTGTTAGTCAGGGTTGTCCTATACCAGCTGCTATCGTCCCTTCTGTCGTTTGTTGGGAATGAAATTACGCATACGCCGCGTGTCCCCCGTTGTCAGCCCGGCTTTTAGCAACAATTGGCCGGGTCTCTGAATACCAAGCATAGCTGGCTCTCAACTTTTGCCTGGCGCACAGCACATTCCGTGCAATTTTCAGAGCCTTTTCCCAGCTACTTTCCACCTCCATTTTCCTAACTGTGCACTTGTGCTGCTCTCTATCTTTTATTTTCCCCATCCCCCTTTGGCATATTTCGCCCAAGGGCCAAGACTTTGGCATAGTTCGGCCATTAGGCATAAGTTTAGCAACTAATTAGAGCAGGGGGTCGGCTAATTTACTTGCACTAAGTGCGTCAAATTGTTGGATTTCTTCTTTTAAGGCAAGTCCTCGATCGTTAATTGGCTGAGCAATTGCGCTCCATCTATAACCCTCAAGCTGTGACACATGAAGGAAGCGAACTCCGACTCAATTAGGTGTCAATAAGGTTGAGTCAGCAGGAAAGGCGAAAGGAGAAAAAGGAGGGAAAGCTGACTTCTTGGCCCACAATTACACAATTGCTCACTTGCTGCTACTTCTACTTCTGCTGCTGTTGCACACACATGTACACATGTTGGTTGGGTGCTCCTCCTCGAGCTTTTCCTCAACCGCTAACGATGCTCGCCCTTTGTCCCAAACCTTTGCCATTGTCTGGCTTTCCTTCTTGGTTTTTTTTTTCTTTGCCTCAGCCAAGAGAATCGCACTTCACTACACACTTCACTTCACTGTTTTTGTTCTCTGCCGTTCGCGTAAAGCGATTTTCAGCTGAGCTGGCAAACAATTTCCCTTTTGTGCAAAAGACGAAAGCAAATGGAATGGCATTGAATGCGCCTTGTGTATTCCGGCATTGATTTCCACTTTTACACTTTTCGGCTGGCGAAATGGCCAAGAAATGCCGGCAACTAATAAAGCAACAATGACGTAGCTCAAGAAATTTTGCACAATGAAATGGGAAAAGTAATACGTAATAATAGGGTGTATTTTTAGAAATGCGAGTTCTGAGGAAATCTGTCTCCCTCTCGAAAACCCCTAAAAATATTTGTAAAAATTAAAAAAGAAAGGAAAACTTGCACAGTTCTCTCGTTTTTCTCTTTAAGAAGTAAACACCATGGGCCAGAAAATCCATCGAATGAAATGAGGTGCACGTTTTTTGTTAAGCTCCATTAAACGGAAAGAGGCGGCGGTTTTAGGCCAGAGATGAAGTCACATCAACGTCAAGCTTTTGGCTTTGGACTTTCGGTTTTTGGCTTTTGGTGGGAGCCGCCCCTCTCAAAATGTATTCATGAATTTCATGGGCTGCACAAATTAAATTTATTTTACATGAGCCATGGGTCGGGCGACCTTCGTTGCAACCTACCCACCTACCACCTTACCATCTGAAATCTGCAACCTGCAACCAGCTAGCTGTTTGCAGCTACGTGCTACGTGCTTCATGCGGCAGGCTGATTAAAAATCCCCGAGCAGGGCAGCCGGGCAACTTTATTTACGCAGGCCAAACAGTCGGAGGAGGCTGCATTGAATGGAAGGGAAGGTTGCCATGATTAACTTTTAGATAGGACATGGACACAGTCCGCGGGGTTCGGATGTTGAATGTTCCACGTTGAACGTTGAACGTACGTTGTGGAACGTTGCATGTTGGACGACGGATGGCGGATGGCGGATGGCGGAAGGCGGATGGTTGATGGTGGCAAACGCGAGGTCAAATCTGCTTCGCGGGGCGTGTTAAAAACAAGCCAAGCCGAAGCCAAAGCAGCAGAACACTCTAAAAAAAATTAAGAATCCATTTCAAATACCATATTATATAAACCAAAAAGTTTTAGAAAGTCCTATTGTTATTTCTACCAATCAATTTCTACAATAAGGTGAATAATTCCTATTATTACCCATTTTTTCCTATTTCTTTTTAGTTTGCTTTAAGTGTAAACTCGGCAAACACCACAGCACCACCTTTTGCCTCCCACCCAAGCATCATTCAAATCATTTTCGCTTGCGTTTAAATATGAATGTTCTTTGCACACATGAGAGGTGGCGGAAAAGTGGGTGGAAAATGGCAGGAGTTTCCCCTGCACAGCGCTTTTACTAATTCACTTGCTGGCGTTTCATTGTTGATGCTCCACGCCCCCGTTTTCATTATCCTCACGCTTTTCCAGCTTAGTTCGAGTTGTGGGAAAATAGGCATCAATGCAATGTTGGTGGTAATTAAACAGATGTTATCACATTGCATTCCTCAAACATATATGTATGAACGAGGAAACAAATATTCATTAACTGGGAAAAGGGCTCCTCAAAAATTCAACTTTAAAAACCAAAATTGCAGTTAGAAGATTATTTGTGTTTTTTTTGTGTTTTTTTTCGATGCAATTAGGATTTTGTGGCTTTTGTTTAAATTGTAATCTGCAAATTAGTTGACCGCAATGCATTTTATGAATTCTATGACTCATAAATAAACAATGAAAATTTTTAAGCATAATTTTTTGGGTTCAAGTTTTTTTTTGTCATTTTCTTCTACTTCTTATTATTATTCTGTATCGATGGTTTTTCTACTTTATCTTTAAATATTTTCATCTATTTTTGTTAACTCACTTTCCAATTTTCCTGACTTTTTAATGTAGTTTGTGTACAACAAATATTTCAGACTTGCGGAAATGAAAGTGGAAAACTGAATGAATTTGACAAATTTCAGGCATCTTCAATTTTCCAGCTTGTTTTTGCGTTGTCGTTGTCTTTTTTCCCCATCTGGAAAAGTCAAAGTGCTACCTGTCGTGCGTCTGTGTGCGTGTCCACTATTGCTAAATGTGTCTGTCTCTCTGTATGTGTGTGTGTGAGTGTTAGTGTGTTGGTGTGCTGGAATGCCAAAAATGTGCACTTGCGTGGAGGGGACAACAAAAGGATTGGGTAAAGCATTTTAAATTAAATTAAATTCCGACAGCAAAATGCAATCACAATGTGCGAAAGAGAAAGGGCTGAAGTGTGTGAGTAATTTACATATTTTGCAATTAAATCGAACCAAAAACCAGGCCAACAAACACACACACACACCCGTAAATGAATTGATTGATTCATTTTAAATGAAATGTGGAAAGTGGGAAACCATTGAAACTGAGAACTAAGGTTATGACATTACGAAATAAATTTGTTATTTCCTTTTTTAATTTTTTTAAAAAGGTTTATTAAGTAGTAAAAGTAATGCCTGACTTTCATTTCACTTACTTATTAATTGATTTTCCTCCTTCTAGCCGATGTCAATGTGAACGAGAGCCCGGTGCACTTGACCCTTTGTGATACCGCTGGCCAGGACACTTTGGATCCTCTGAGGGAGCTCTGCTATCCCGACAGCGATGTCTTCCTGCTCTGCTTCTCGGTGGTCAAGCCGGAATCATTTCGGGCCATCAAGGCCAAGTGGGCGCCCAAGTTTGCCAAGACCAAGGCCGCTTTGATTTTGGTTGGCACTCAGGCCGATCTTCGCACCAGTCCAAATGTCCTTAACAAACTGCAGGTGAGTCCTTTGCTCTGAATCCTGATTCCAGTTGATTTATTAATGCTCCTGTTGCCCGCGAGCGAGTTTATCATTATTTATCTGGCTGCTCCGATTCAAATATTTATGAAATTCTTATTTGATTTCATTTGCCTTGAAGCTAACTTGATTTTTTTTGGTTTCCTTTCTTTATTTATTTATTTTTTTTTTTTTTGCAGACAAACGGCGAGAAAGCAATTTCATATGCAGACGCCTGGGATTTGGCAACAACAATTGGCGCAAAATACATTGAGACTTCGTCAGCCACACAGGTGAGTTAGTCAGTCCGGCGTGAAAAGCGGGGGAAATTCGTGAAATGGGAAAATAAGGTGGTGGTGGTCGTTGGTTGGAGGGAGTACCTCATATTAATTAAAGCCAAAAGGCAGACAAGTGTCATTGCTCTGGGTCTGCGACTTCAGTGCGGCTGTCACGTGTAAACACTTGAAAAAAATGGTGCACTCTTTTTGGCATTTCGGGGAGTAAACTGACAAGGTACCGTAAACGAAAATAATGTATAAAAAATCAAAGTTAAGTTAATTATTTTTGAACTTGGATCAGCTTTAAAAGGTTTGTTATTTTCAATTGTTAAGTGCTGTATTTTCTAAGGGAAATCTTTAATAAGGTCCAACTTATAAAGGGCATACCCCCAATATCGTAAGGGGTATTTTGGCGAAAGGAAGCCTCCTGGAAATAAAAATACGCCTGGCTAAATTCCACAGCCAAAAGGAGACGTTCTCCTGTGGGAAGCAGCTCGTTGTGGTCCTGCTCGGGTTTTATCCTTTTGAGTCGCCTTGTCACACGGAACAAACTCACCCACACACACAGACACACACAATAATCATAATTGTGCGGTTAAGAGGGAAAGAGCGATATATATAAATATATATACATATATCTGTGTGTATATAGAAGGCAAAGGGGGATTCCCCTTGTTTGCCGCAACACTTCCGACTAAACGCCGTCGCTTCTGACAGCCGTGCATTGCACTCTGCGTGGATTTCCCCGAAGGTAGTAGCTTCTGCCACGCCCCCTTTTGAGCTATCCCCCGCTCCATGCCCACAAAAGAAGGCAACAGCGAAGATGAAGCGATTGCAACAAATTATAAAGTACTTGAGCATGATGATGATAATAAAAATAATGATGATGGTGACAATTTGTTGTGAAAGTTCTTCGCTAGTTGCTGTAAAATAAGATACATAGATATACAAACAATTGTATTAAGTTGCCTATTTAGATGCTCAGTGGTGTAGAAACAACGGAAGAATTAATTTTCCTTTTGTGGGTAACCCACAATCAATGCATAAACCAATAATTTCGAAATAAATAGATTACTAAAGCGAGTTCATCTCTTAAAATAAACTCACCATTGAATTAATGCACAGACAATTAGTTAATTATGGGTAAAATATATTTTATTGCAGCCGAACAAGAGCAGCAATCAATGCGGGAGAACATTTTGCGGGGCTTTATTGATTTAATTAGGCAGTGATTAATAACCGTATTATCTCGTTCGCAGGACAAAGTCAAGGATGTGTTCGACACAGCCATTTGGGAGGGCCTAGTGCCCACAACCCTGCCGCCCACCCCTTCATTTTGGAGGAAGCTCTTCTGCCTGGCCTGAAACTCGAAAAAGGAACAACCTACTCACGATTTATTTTTATCTCCTTTTTTTTTGATAGTTATTTAACTTCGGTTAGTTAAATTAAACATTTTTTTAAGAGACTTTCATTTAGCAGTGCTTGCACACAGACTGATCTAAACATAAACTAAAATAATATACAAGTAAAACGTATATGTTTAACGACTAAACGAATATGTTTTCATTATAGTTTTTTTTTTTACTCGTACTCTTAATCATGTTTGTGGTTATCTCTCACCATTTTCTTAAACTATTTAAACCTTATTATCGCCCAGATCCACAACTATGTTAAATCATTCCATCCATTTGTAAGCATTACGTTTTAAGCTAAATATTTGAAATATTGTATCTCGAAGGCAGCATATATATATTTTATATAGAAATATAGAAGCGAAACAAATCCACCATACTGCTGCTGTTGTGCAAATTGAATTTTCTGGGGAGGCATTTTATCTTCTTGCAGTGGGTTTCCAAATAATTTGGCAGCCTAATGCCATAAGTGCTGGCAAAAATAATAATAAATGCCGAGGACATTGCCATGGATTCGAGAGCAGAGTCAACAAAAACAACATTAGCGTGCCAGCGAAGTCTCAACTCTCGACTTACGACTCCACTAAGTAAACACACACACACACACACACACACAGGCTCACATGTACATTTACGCATACACATGCAACACCATCTGGAGAAAAAGTTGAAGAAAAATCCAAGGAAAAACTTGGCAAGTTTGCATACCCCTCAAAGTGGCCGCAACTTCAAGGTATGCTAGAAAAGCGATGGAAAAATTTGAAGAATTTACTAAAAATCGTAAAAATCTTCTTTTCTACACAACAGTATGATACAATTTCGATAGTTCTCGCTAGAGCAGGCGAACAGAAATGCCTAGAAGATGGCTACGAGCACCATAAGAGTAGGCATTAATTTCTTATAATTTCCCTTAAAAGACTCCTTCAATTTTAAAATATTTAAAGAGGAGTTTTTACTCGCTTCTCACTCTGTTTCTCTTTGGCTTTGTGAAACACAAAACAGAGACCATCAAGTGTTTTGCTGATGCTGATGCCTTGATTGGAGCCCGGCATTAGCGCCAGACATTTTTAGCCATGGCAAAAAATACAAGCAGACTAAAAAAGTGCAATATTCATGGCAGAAGGGTGGAAACATCACGGTTTAAACCAGCAGTAATAACCGAAACCAAGCGATACGAACCGAACTGAACTGAACTGAAACCAAAAGCAGCTGACGGGCGAGTGCAGTGCAAACATTTTCACATTGTCTGGCCAAAATCTGGCGAGCAAACAGTTAATGCGCCTGTCGACAGCAGCAGAAGCAACATGCCACAATTCCTCGCAGCAGCAACATGCAACTCTCCCTTCTCTCCCCACTGGAAAACATCGTGCAACAGTTTTTGCGTAGGCCATAAAGTTGAAGATTCGCCAAGATGACAGAAAACAAAAGACAAAAGACAACAAAAAATCATAATAAATCAATAGCAGAACGGAGGAAACTTGGCCATGTCATGTTTGCAAAATTTATGGCTACTTACAAGCACAGGCAATAAATACACAATTTATTAGACAAATATTTTGGGGGCAAGAAATTACGTATACGTATGCTGGCCTGCTAATGATGCATATCTCCAGTTGAGTATGCGCTTCCCCTGTCCAGATGTCACTTCATTTTGAGGGCGACTTATGAAATATTGAGCAGATCAATCGATTTGGGGCCAACATTTTTGGGGCCATTTACTCGTGCGGCGACGGCAGAGTGAAAATTCAATTCAAGTTCCATAATGAAAAATGTGTCTGTGAAACTGTTGAATGGTTTTCCCCCCTTCTACTTATTTTTCCCTTTTTTTCTGCCCTTTTCTGATTTTAGTATTATTTTCCGCTGCTTTGTTTGGTACGTGCCAATAAAGAGCCGACTGGAGTCGAGGCACGCGGCTATTTATGTGGGTCATTCCCGCATCCGCAGTCCTTCCTCACTATCTATGTATGTGAGGGTGTGTGTGTGTGTGTGTGTGTGTAATTTACTTAGGAATAGACACAGATACGGATACAGATACAGATACGGATACATGTGGCACAGATACGCGGCTGGCAGACACGCCACTTGAACCCCAGATTGCGCCCGGTGACGGTCGGCAGGTCTTCTATAAGTTGAAAGCTGATACCCTTTAAGAAGTGGTGAACTTTGGACTGTTGAGTACACCATTCTTATAAAAACATAGCGAAGAAATACAAAAATAAAAAAAATAACAAACCCTAAATTAAGCAGATCAGAATTAGAATTAGAAATTAGAAATGATCTCATTAGATCACAGAGTATAAAAGTAACAAAAATAGGTATCAAATAATTTTTTTTTTAATTATTCAGCACTTTTTGAGATAAATATCCTACCAAATGTTATAAAAAGGTTTGTTAATTCTTTGGTAGATCAGGTATTAAACACCTGACAACGGGTATTTTTGCCGTGAGTAATCGCCATATTCGAATTTCTTTGCTGTTTCCTAGTCGCTATTGTTCCCCTCGGCGAGTTGAGGGCCCTCGCTAGGAGGCTAAAACTTATAATCATGGCATCATCAACAAAATTATCGTTTTGCCACAGACAGCACACATGTGCAGAGTGGAGGTCCTGCACAGATACACTCGCCATTTAAGAGCATAAAAGCGAAACGTGCTCGAAATGTGAATTACTCGCGCCCCAAAACCCTCATACATACACAAACACACACACACATACACTGTTGCACTGTTCAAGTGCTTGAGTGTGTGTGTGCGAGTTGATTTTGCTCTTTGGCTCCATTTTGGCTCATAACTTTAACTATTTTACACGAACCCAAGGAACATTTACTCGACTTTTTCCTTTGTTTTCCCTCATTGTTTTTCTTTGCCTTTATTTAGTCGGTTTAGTGCCTGCTTTCTTTCCTTTCGAGTTTTTGGGGTTTCGGGGTTAAGAAATATGCGGATGCCAGTTGAGTTTGTGGACCTGGCACCTTCAATATCTTTTGGGTTCTTCTCTCGTATTTTTTTTTTGTTTTGCTTTGGCAAATTAACAAGCCAGCAGGAGGGTGTCGGAAAAGGCGTCAGCAGCAGTTTCAGCTTCCCTTTTAAACATTGATTTCCTGGCGCCTAGGTACATGGCATATGTACACGGCGGAAAACAAATGATTAAATTAGGTTTTTAAATATATTTCAGCTTTGCTACTCAAGGCCTTTTAAAAGCAATTTATTAGGTCCGAGCGTTTCGAAAATATATCAAAATAATGTTGATTTCTTTAATGTAATTTAGGTTTGGTTCATTTTCATGTTTAATTTCAATTAATTTCTTCACCTGTACATGTGAAATTGAAGCATCGAAGAAATCGCAATTCGCACGAACGCATTTCCTCGCAAAGGTAAACAACAAATAGAGATGTATAAAAAAGTGAAGGAGGCGGATGGATATAGAGTGGTGAAAAGCGGGGGGCGGCGGAAGGTGGTGGAAAAGTGGGTGGGGGGAAATGAGAAGACACGGCTGCTCCTTTCAGCAGATTCGAGCAGCGGTGAAAACCTTTTTGGCGCTAATTGCAATTACACGAAATATTATTTGCACACATTTCCAGCCAAAGCCGCAATCAGAGCGACAGAGATAGGGCCAAAGTGTTCGAGGGAGATGGATATATATATGAGAGGGGGGAGGGGGAAGGGGAAAACTGTAAGAACAAGCCAACAGTTTAATCAGTTGAATGAATGCGAAATCCCAAGTCCAAGAGCCAATCGTTGGGTTTATCGGGAAACTTTACTAATGATCGCAGACAGTGCGGTTCATGGGCATAAGGAGTGAAATAAGTGAGTGATTTTAACTTGCATTTTAAAGTTCTATGAGCTGTTTAAGTAACTACGTTCAAATAAGAGAAAATCCTTTCAGAACTATATTAAATAATTAATGCTTTGATACTTATTTCAATAGATATCTAAACTTATAACCCAAGGTTATTTTAAAAAGAGCCACTGCTAACCTTAACCCACTTCACTTGCGTTGTCCTTTTTTTCCTCCACTCGTAAGTGACCTTTAGAATAAATAAATAGGGAAAAGCACAGCAAGGGCAGAGAATCCATAATGGAATTGGAAAGCATCACCGGATTGTTTGCCTGTCTCATCCATTTATTTGCTTATCAAAGTCAGCACCTGATACAGTCCCTTATCCCCTCCCCTCCCCTCCCCCCCATCTCCCCTCTTCGTTCCTTTCCCTTTCACCCCCTCTTCAATCGGTTGCCAGTCCGCCACTGTCAATTCCAATTGCAGTTGCCATTCACAATTGTCTGGCATGTCGGCCGATAAGCCCACTCCATGGCACTCCAACCCACTTCAGCCTAACCCCCCTTCCCTTTCCCCCTCCCCCCCTCCCCTTTCTCCACCCCCCTTCCCCTTTTACTTGAACCCCTTTTGTAGCCCCCACACCCCCTGGTAACCCTCCAAACCTCCCCCCGTCAGCGTGCAATAAATCAAACATCAAAGCGATGAGCCAACTTGAAATGGACTGCAAATTTATGCAGCGACAGCTCTCAGTTTCCCGATCCCAAAACCCGATCTCCATTTCAATGGCAGATGGCCAAGCGGCCGGAGTAAACAAATCAAAAATAAAAGCACCCTGCAGTCTCAAAAACAAAATTCAAGAGCTTAAGAATTCAAGCCAGTTGTACAAAATTAGAGAGTCAATTTTCAAATGAGTAGAACAAATGTGGCTCAAAAAATTGGATAAACATTTTAAAAGAATCTAATAAAACAATAGAAAACAAGAGAAGCATAATAAAAATAATACTTTAATATCCATTTTTTGTTTTTGTTATGTTACTTTTTTTTTTGCCATACTAACCAACCATTTTTTGAATCGAGAAATGACAGCTACGCATATGCAAATGAGTTTTTATTTTCATTATAATTTCACCTCCGCCTGTTTAGTTTATTTGCGCCTGCATACGATTTACATGCATGCGATAAAGTTGATTAAATGCAAAGTGGCAAACGGAATTTCATTCCCATTTTCCCCCTCTGGACCCGGTCGGAAAAATATTGAAAAACTTCAAGGAGAACAACATAACACAAAAAAACAAAATGGGAACTCGACAAACACAAACACAAGCGAGAAAAGTCAAGAAGAGGAAGAGCAACTCTAGAGGATTTTCAAGTTATGTCAAAGGTAATATTTGAGAAAAATACATTTTTAATTAAACTTTTTATACACCATAAAGTATCTCAAATATGTTAGCTTAAATATTATTATTTGCAAGCAAAACTAAACTTTAAATTACATTTTAAATGTAATGATTTTATTTTCTTTTACTCTTTGAAATAAGTAAATATTTTTGAAAACAACCTTTTCAGGTAGTGCAATTTGGCCAGCAGCACATATTGCAAAAGTTATGAACAGGAAATGAAACGGAAGCTGACAATATTCTCAAACGAGGACGATGGTGCTTGTCAGTGGGACATTTGGTCACTCGACCATTCCGGGCTACCTATTTGTTGTTTTTCCAGCCCAACTGACCACCTTTCTATTGGTGAGACTGGCTGACATTGCTGGCAGCTGCTTAATTGGCCCGGAATTCATTAGAAGCAATGTTCAAAGGAGATTTCCTACTTGGAAAACAAGGAGAGCCACAGGTATAGCGATTTTTTAAATTATATAATTATATCCTTTGAACCAACCATTAAAGAAATTACGTTTAGTAAATTGCCAGCTAAGGAATAATAGGTGGGTGGATGGGGTACAGCAATTGCAGAAAGGTTTTATTAAAAAGTACAAATTACTTAACAATGATTCCACAGATTTAAAAATCACCTACTTATTAAAAGTTCAAATGTAATATAATACTCGAAGTAGTGATTTAGTATAAAATTTGATTTAATAGATTAAATTCCTTAGCAATAAACTGATACACATCTAAATCTGTTATTTAATATTGAAATCAATTTCAATTGGAATTCGAAGCTGCAAAAGACCCACAAATAAATAGAAGAGATCAAAATTCCTTTGCGAATGTAAAACTCTAATATTATTTTCCACGCCAACCAATCGCAATCTATTTTCCAGTTTCTGCTTGTTTGTTTCCGTATTTGTGGAATTTGTGCTCCGCCAGCGAGATCTTCCCCGGGGCACATTATCCTGGGGGGCACATCTCCTCCCCGCCGGTTGTCCGGATATATCCACCTGGATCGCAGCCGGAATCCGGCCGCTAATTGTAAAAGTTTTCCGTGTGTGAATAAAGCTGAAAGGGGGGAGGGGAAAGGGGGATGGTAGATGGGAGGGGGCGGCACGCTTGTGACCGCAAGGACAGGGGGCTTATTTGCCTGCCCAGTAATGAGTAACAGAGAACCGTGTGCGGCCGGAAATTGTGCGCCGTCAAATCGAATTGCCTACCTAAGCCCAACGAACGTCCTTCGGCCTCCGCTCTCTAACATAAATCCCCCAATCCCCAATCTGCAATTTTCACCACCCCGTCGCCCAAATGATGCATAACTGGCCTAAACAAATTGCCTCATCATCACTCCGGTTCGCACATCCTGCCACTGAGCGGCGGATTCGATTATATTGCTCGTGATTAACACTCTGCCAAAAAGTAAGGTTCATTTTATAAAGCGATTTGAACAGGGTTTCAGCTTATATGATTTTTTGCTGGTACTTTAAGTTTCGGAGCTAGGAAAATATTTTAAAAGATTGTAAACTAAGAAAAAAAGTTTCAAACCTTTTAGAAAAACATAGATTATATTTTTTTATGATTTAATATTTTAAATTAGATTATGTAGATCGAGTAAAATGAAAAACTGAAAGAAGCTCTATTTAAAACGGACCATAAATATTTTCTATCAAAAAGAGTATTGTAAAAGTCAACTTATACCTAGTTTATTTGGCTTTCAGTTGCGCTTTTTGTTACCAGGTTTCTGCCTATTACAGAGTTTTGCGGCGCTTTGTTCTATTTTTGGGGCTGCAATTGGCCAGCGGTGGCAGCGAATTCAATTAGCGTCTGGTGGGTGCAGCGCAATTCGGCACTGCAACCTGGCCAACGCGACTGGGCCGAGAAACTGGCGGCCACGCGGGGATTGACTGGCCAAAAGTGCGGGTCCAAGAACAAAAACGAGTGCAAAACTCGACAATTAGCCGGGTCAGAGTGCCGCAACAACAATTATGGCTGTAAGAGCATTATGGCCGAAAGCGGACTGATGTGGAAAATGCGCCTCAATCACATTACATCAAGTATACGTCCCTTTGTCCACGCATCAGTTTATTGCCGCCGCTGTCATAATAACAATAATAACCATAACCATAACAATAATAATAATAATGTGTAACGAGCAAACAATGAAAATGAGCTGCCAACGGCAGAGAGCCCGGCCCATAAGTTGGTAACTTTAATTAGATTAGCTTTCTGCTTGCCCGACTTCTGCTTTTGCTTTTGCTTCTGCTTTTTCGCTTCCTCGTAATTATCGAAAGTAAAAACAATAAAACAATAGGTTTCGTAACAATAACAACAGAGTAAATCTACATAAAAGGATAGAATACAAATAAAATAACTCACTTTCAATAATATTAATATATAAGTATAAAATGTAATAAAACTTAAATGAAATGAGTTGAATTTTTATTTTATTCGAAGCATAAAATATTTTATATTTCAAAGCGGCAATAAATATTGATTACCAAAAATTGTTGCATGCTTTGCTGGGGCTTTCCATCAACTCATTTGATTACCTGCAGCTTAGCATAAAACAATACAAATATTGCCCGACATTCTGCAGTAATTTTGCTCTGAATTTACTGGAAAATGTGAAAATTCATGTAGTTTCCTTTCTTTCTGACGTTTACGAATATTTAGCGAACGTATTCGGTTCGTCGATGAGGCGTTAACGCAGATACAGCTGCAGATTCGGCGGCAACTCACAAATGGTTCGAGCGCTAATCAAATTACCACACAGTCGCGTAAATCAACTGCAAAATGTTTTAATTAAGAGCGGAAGAAAATGCGCGCGGGGGCGTGGAATTGCCGAATCAGAATGGCAAATTGCAATTGCAATTTCAGTTGCCGTTGTAGTTGCAGTTGCAGTTGCAGTTGCGATGCAAATCGAATCGCAGTAACCGACAGCAACAGTTAAGCCCGCCAGGCAGCAACATCAGTGTCCGTAATCGTGGCCCAAACGACAGTAAAAGCAGCAGAAGCAGTAGCAAAAACAACAACAACAACAACAGTGGCAATAGCGACTAACTGCTTTTGATCCGCGGGGCCGCTGGTCACAGGTCACAGGTCACGGCGGCAACAGTTGCCGCTGCAACTGGCGACAAAAATGCCAACAGCGACAGGTGCAGCAGCTGCAGCAAGTATCAAAAAACAATCCAAGTTTTGACAAGTCGCAGCATTAAATGCTCTTGTTATATTATTTGCACTTAAAACTGAACAAAAAGAAAACTAAACAAGAAGAAAACATAAAATATTCACCCTAAAATGCAGAACTTTTTGAAATTCTTTATGAAAAACATTGATTTAATTTTCTAAAGATTTAAATGCAGATCAATAGCGGTTGTAAATCAAGAATCCCAATCCATTGAAAAACCTCTCAACTGGCAATACAATTTAAAAATAAAATCAAAAGCTTGTTCTATCACTGATCTGCAACTTATTAGTTGGCCAGAGTCGTGCAGGCAATAAGAGCGATTTAGAAAAACACCAAAAATGGGGGGCAAACGACGCTGCGTTTTCGCTTTTGGCCATGCCCATCAACCATTATCCCGTTTTGCCGGCGAGTTCCCGCTTCCTGTTGCCTATTTTCCCCCCCTGGCCAAGCGAGAAACTAGCGTCACGTAGCCAAGCAAATGAACTGCAACTGACTTCTGGCTTTGCAACTGCCGCGCAGCACCTTTTGGTTGCCCCCTTCAACTCCCACCCCCCGCCGTTTTCAGCGATTTCAGTGATATTCGAAGGGCGCAGGCGTTGGGCGACAGGACTCGCACTCGCACTCGCATTCGGCTTCGGTATTCAGGATTCGGGATTCGGAATCGCGATTCGGATTTCCATTCACCAAAACATAAGTTCGGCTCGTGGCGTGCGGCATGTTGCAAGTTGGCTATATATGAGTGCTGGCAGCGCGTTTGCTGGCTCAATTGCGCCTAGCACATTGGCCAGGCAGCAGGTCCTTGCGGCAACCGGAACTCCCTAAAAAGGCCCGGAATCGAAAAACGAAATCGAAATACTCGAAACCGGCTAGCGAAGAAATACGTGTTTATTGCCAATTGAAACTGTGAATTATCCTGCTGTGCGAATTGTGTGTGATTGCTTGTTGATTACTAATTTTTTTGACAGTGCTTATTGTTGTTTAAGGGGAGAGAAAGAGAGATAGAGAGAGAGAGAGATAGGTTCATCCTGATCTGTGAGTACATTAATCCCCCCTGCGTGCCGCGTGTTACTTCCGCTTCCGCGTGCAATTAGTGGGCGGCATGGCGGCCATGAGCCGCCAGCTGAAGCGCTCCAAGACAATGTCACTGGCGGTGGTGGCCCTAGTGCTTTTGGGCCTGTCCGCAGTCCTGGCAACCGGAAATGACGCCATTTCCGCGCCGAAAGCCTCCAAGGATCTGCAGCAGCAGCATTCGAATCAGAATCAGAATCAGAATCAGCAGAGAGACATCGAAGATGATGGAGGAGCACGACGAGAAAAGGACTTTGACTTTGCCGCCTATGTGAATGGTAAGTTTTTCTCCTCCTCTCCATTTTGACCACCGAAAATCCACTTTTCCCATTGCGCAAATCGCAAATGCCAAAATCGCCAGACAACTCAATCACTTTCGCTTCCTGTCGCAGTCGCAAAATGGAAATTAGCCTGCCACTCGGCTTTCGCAGGGACTTTAACGTCGTGCTGGCCGGCCAAAAAGCAATTTGAGTGCTCTAAGTGGTCACAAAACAATTGAGTAGTGGCTGCGTCAATTTCGGTCTCTTGGCCGCAAACGTGTATTTGTTTGATTGGAAAACTTGACCGCAAGTGCGTGGGGAAATCAGTTATAAAGACAACGTCGAGTGAATAATTCAACTGAATTGTAGTTGCGAGTGGGAAACGCATGGTTTTAAGTGGAAAACGTAGCTACGCAAATGCAACTGTTATTGAATCGGAGAAATTAGGTTTCTCATTTTGGCAACAAAAAAAAAAGAAATCGAAAATACCATTTAAATACAAAACCAATGAATTTCCCAAAGTCAAACTCTTACGACTTTTGCTGTTTTGACATTTAAATTGCCAAATAACAAATAAATAATTCTGCTCATGATGTTATGGAATTTGCTTATTGCGGAAGCAAGACGAATCATTTCAAACATTTATTAGTTGAGCAAATGCCAGAAATGCTTCCTGTTAATTAGAACTTAATAACCCATGAATTTCACCCGAAGCTCTCGATTTTTATCAGAGATTTTCCCAATAATTTCCACACCGTACGAATGCCAAATCGTCTGCGATTTAGGGAAATTTCATATTATTTGAGCTGGCATCAAGATGTCAATTGTGAATGGAGGCATATAGATGTATATGTTACAATTGGCACATGGATATATGTAAATATATGATGTAACTGCAATGATATGTCATCCGAACTGTTTGGTTTGCTTTCCGAAAATTGCAATTTAAATGTAGTTAGCTGCGATGATGTGTGTGTGTGTGCTTTGCCACTTAACAGCTACACAAAAGTCGCACAAACATTTTGTGGCAGGCAAAAGAGGGGAAAATGGGAGGGAAAAACGACGAACTGACCACACTAACAAACATTTCGAAACGTAAAATTTATTTATACCACTTGTAACTGCAAAATGTAATTTTGTGGAAATCACAAAATGTGTGAGAACTCACACACACACACACAAACGAACTGAAACTCCCGCCCACACGGCGTATGAGTAATCTGGATGGCAAGCAATTGCATTACTCATACGCCGTGTGGGTTTGTTGCCGCCCCCCAAAATGTATGCTATAAATTTTTGCCTGTCAATATGCTTAGCAATACTGCGATTCCTCGGCCATTGAAATGCAATTTAATTGCGAAAACACTCGCACATCCACACACACAAGATAGTAATACAATAATTGCAATTGCAACACATTCAAATGTGTCGCTTTTTGTGGCAAGAGGAGAGGGCGAGCGAGAGGGAGAAGATGAAGGGTTTGGGTAAAAAGAGGTCCTCTGACTTGTTGCACGACCATCGACATCCAGCCACTTCATCATTCCGATGAGATCGAAGCCACTCGAAGCGATGCGTTTACACTTTAAATAGCCGCCGGCCAAAGGTAACACTTTGTAGCCTTTGTTTTTGCTCCTGCCACTGCTACTTTAGCTGCATCCGTTTAGCCATAAATTATAGCCCGATAGGAGTGTTTGAGTGTGCGTGTGTGTGGGTGTGTGGGTGGATGCCACGTGGCTTATGGCAGGTGGTGTGCGGGGGTGTGGCTTTTGCATATGTGTGTGCGGTGCAGGTGCGGCTTTGTTTGTAGTATCCTACAAAATCCAGAGTTCAAGGGTAGATTCGCGGTGGTGCAAACAGAGATTTCAGAAAAGCATTAAATGATCGGACTCAAAAAAAAATCTCTATTAAATTTATTAACTATACTGAATAAAATACAAATTAACACAGTATTTATACAAATTAATTATGTTTTTCAAAATGTAAATAGAATATTGCTATTTCAAACAAAGTTCCCCCAACTTTTCCCAAATAATTACAATGAATTGTCAAACTTTTATCTCGAATATGTAAAAATCCGCCAAAAAAGAGCGTACAGTATCAACACAATCGACCCTTGTGAACTCCATCTAGATACTTTTTCGTTTATTTTTGGCTGTGTGCTAACATTTCGCTGATTTTACAACCGCGACAGAAAGCGTTGACAGCCGAAAAAAAGGGGGAGAACCCATAAAGCGGTTCGCTTTCAGAGTTCGAGGAGTTGAATTCGGGGGTAACCGCCACCGTTTTTGGCCGTTTGTTGTTGGCCAGCATCGCTGGTCATATGGTCCATATTTAAACCTGGCCATAAGCCGTTTGCTTCCCGTTCGTTTGTTTGTTTGTTTGTTTTGTTTGCTGTCGCTTTCCCGCTGGCGTTTTGTCGCCTCCTTCCTTGATTTCATGTAGCAATAACGCTTGAAGGATAATGTTGCTTACTTTAACTGATAGAAGATGGCATCTTTTATTATTGCCTCCTACTGACTTTGTCTTTTTTGGTTTTTCACATACAAAATCCACAACGAAAAACTCCAAAACTTTATTTGAAAATCTATTGTATAAAAGTCAAAGCACCAGCGAACAATTTAAAAACTATTTAAGTCAAATTTAAAGTAATGAAGAGTTAAGTTTGTTCGCCTGTTGCCGAGTTATAAGTTTCATGAAAAATTTGTGAATAGAAATTTTGGTCGTCATTTATATTTATTAGCCCGAAACAAATTCTGCTTTTATGAAAGTTTTTTCCCCCGCAGTAACTTTTATTGTTGGCACAATTTAGTACCTTTGGATTCGTGGCAACAACTGCATTTCACTAATCTAGATGCCTTTTATTTTTCCGGCAGCCTGTTTGTCTGCTGTTTTTCCGGGCGTCTTCTCAACGCTCTTCTCCCTGCCTTTATTATTGTTGTGCTGTCCATAAGCAGATAATCAAAAGTAAATAAAAGCATTTCCCATTGTGCGATTCGCAGACGGCGGAGGCAGAAAAAAAGCCTTACAAAAGGAGGAGACACAGACTAAGTAAATACTCGCACATTTTTGCGCAGAGGAATATTTTTTGAAGTGCCGAAGGGCTGAGGAGAAATTAAGAGGAGCTCCACCGCTCAGCCTTTTGGTATTTTATGAATTATTTCGTAGCTCATTAACGAAAACACGTTTAAGTACTTAAATAATCAACGCCTTTTTGGGCCCACAACTTTTGTCAGTCATTCAGTCAATCCGTCAGTCAGTTAGTCAATCAGACACGTATGTATGGCATAGGTAATTATTTCAACGATTATTGGGATTTGTTTCGAAAGGTTCTCGGAGAAGAGCATTTAATTAACTACGAAGACACTTTGATTGAAGCAATTAGGAGCCTAATCACATTAAACAGGGGAACGCAATCGGCTTAAAACACCCCAGTGACTTTGATTATGAGCAATTGTTAAACATCGGCATTTGTTGGTTAATCAGCTTAGCGTTAATTAAGTATGCCATTATTGGGAAGACAATAGGGAAATAATGCTCGGGCCCTTGGGCCATTTAGACGTTAATAAATTGAAGAGAAAAGCTTCAGTTATTACTGATTAGATTACTGTTTGAAAATGTTATCTCACAGAATTTAAGTTCCCGGAAAAGGTTTACTTAACTTAAATACTGTTTATCTTATATTTATTTTTAAATCTAAATAATCTATCGTGGGATTGCGAAAAACTTTCTCTTCTATTCAAAACTTTCACTGCTTATTTAGCAACATAAACTCCTTTTATTTTATTGGTCCAATCAACTTTGGCTTTTATCGATGGTTTAGTGTTAATAGTTCGACGCTTTTAGTTGGCTAAATAAAGTTATGATTTGTTTGCCCGGCCAACTAATTTTAAATTCAAATTATTGTTTATTTTCGGTTTAGCTGCTTTCTCTTTCTCTCTCCGTGGGGATTCCGTTTGCCATAAATTGTTGATTCACAATTTGTTTGCTTTCAGCACGGGGAAAATATCAAATTAAATTAATTAGTTTTTTCCCGCGTGAGTTTGTGTGTGTGTGTGTGTGTGTGTGTTAGTTTCACTGGGTAACCGTGTTTAAATTGAAATGGGAATTAATATTAGTAGCATTTTGGTAAATTAGCCAAGTTTGAATCCGATCTTTGGGCTTTACGCGAAGTGCCTAATTGGCCATACGATGCAGGAAAGCTGAAACTTTGTGCCACAACAACCGCACACATTGAGCGGCTTCATTATGCAAAGGATCCTTTGTGTCCTTGCTCCCCGGATGGCGACACGAATACAAGGAGACAAACAGGAATGGAGACTCAAGACTCTGGAACCAAGACACAAGTCAACCCGAGTGGCAAGTGGCAAGTGGCAAGTGGCACTCCACTCGTGCGCAATCTGTCATACGTTAATCGAGTGCAAAGTGCTCCCATGTCTGGCCACCAATTAATAATCGTCCTAACCCAATGCACTTGTGTCGTCCGACAATTGTCCTTACTCACTCAGCCTAATTAGTGTGCGACGCATTTGAGGCCATATGCCAAATGTACACTTGGGAAACACATTTCCATGAAGTTTTGAGTCAAAATAAACAGAGGTTTAATAACACAAAATTCCAACCAATTGGGAAATCATAAATGGCAAAGAATGACAATTAAAATATTTTAATAAACATTTAATATACACCCAAAACATTTTTAATATTTATATTAAATATATTTGAAATATATATATTAAATATATTTTCATTTTAATATTTTATGCTTTTTTTTGATATGTTAAAATTGAATAATATAAGAACTATTTCCTCTATCCCCTCAAAACCCACTCTAAAATTATCCTTCAAATTACCCACCTAATTTCTTTGAGTGCACTCATGCCTAACAAATTATAGGCCAATTGGCCACGCCCCCTTTGAGGGCGATTCCGCTCTAAATTCAGCTGGGGGATTTATTTTTATACGCTGGTCGTTAGGGATAATACACCATCCGTTTTAGCCGGCGCTTTTATCGCTCGGCA